TAGAGATGGTATAATGGTTTTGTGAGGTTGTGGGGGTTAGATTTCACCAAACGCCAGACTAATGAATCCTTAATCTCTTGTTATATACATTGCTTAGTCAACCCATAAGTTTACTCAAACCTAATCCCTTAGAGAAAGAGCCTAGGTGCGGACATTGAATATCAATCCCTTGAGTACCCAATATCTACACCCGCATTACGGGCTAGGGTTTAAGACTACTAATGGGTCAAGCTCTATCCCTAGATACAATCTCCACTAGGCATATGTTCCAGAACTAGTTTCAATGGTATTTCCCAATACTCAATGGAACCTTAAATCATGTAAAGGGTGATCAATCCAAAGCAAGCATTAAGCGTAGAAACGTACACAACAAAGAATGAAACAATACATATATATATCATTAAAAACGTAAGGATTACAATAGAGTACGTTGGTTACATCTAACCCCACAAAAAAGGGTGGAACCACTCAACAATGAGGGTAAATACAAAATAGAGATGAAAGGAGAAGTGAAGAACCGAAGGAAAGATCCACACACGAACGTTCCAAAGCTCTGAGAATTCCTTCTATAGCTCCAATGAGGCGCCCCTGCGTGAATGAGGGAGAAACCCTCGAAAATGGCTTCAAATACGAGCTTGGGGAGATCAGATTAGGGTTTCGCGCCCGGCGCGTAAGTCTTCACGCCCGGCGCAGGGCCTTCTAGTGAGGTCAAGTATTCTCTGCCTCAGAACACGCCCGGCGCAATTCCTTTTGCGTCAGGCGCGAATATTGCTTGCAAAGACGAGGCACTCTGTTCTTCTCAAGCCCGGCGCGGGTAATGTTGCGCCCGGCGCAGCCACTCTGCTCTGCTCCCTACTCCTTAGATTTCCAATCCTAAGGGTCTTCAATCCTCAAGTCTCTAGCTCAATACCTGCACAAAAATGAGGTGTATTAAGGTATTGTTAGCTAAATTTGGGTTAGTTATATCTGCACACAAAATGAACCAAAAAGAGAACAATTGTATTGCAATGGTTCAAAGAATGAGTGAAATTGTTTATTAAGTCTTGTCCAAAAAGAGGTATAATTGAGACTTAACAGTCAACTCGGCTCCTTGCCAGTTGCACCCCAATAGTTGGGGTTTTTTGAGGGCTTTTCAAGTCCTGTGTTCGGCCCTAGGAATAGAGGTGTCTCTTCCTGTCTTCCTTCATTTTTACCAACTGAAGATAGGTGTTCCGCCTTATGGCGTTCTGTCTCTGAGTGGGAGTAGGGATGGGGGTTTATTCACTCTTTACTCCCAGTCATACAAAAATTATAGACAAGAGTTCTTCCGGGTTGCCCTCGTGGATGTCGACCCCCTAGAGGATGGGGCGTTCTACTTCGGCGGGTTGCCGAAGTTCCCTTTCTATTGGTGCCCCAAACCGTCTAGGTTTCACGGGGTGGGCCAATTGAAATTGACAGCTTCGGAGGCGGCCTCCATTGAGAACCTTACTGCGCTTCCTCGCCCGCTGGATTGCAAGCTCGTCCTGTCGCTTGCGAATTCGGCGTACAAGGAGAAGGGCCTGGAAAGTGAGTATCTCGTCCTCTTTAGATTGTTAGGGTTTGTGAAACCTTCTTTTTCTGATGTGTTTTATTTTCTGTTTGCAGGCATCATGGGGAAGAACAAGTGGCGAAAGCTGAAGCATCGCTACAATGTTGCTGAAATTGAGGTCCCTGAGCCTCAAGAGGAGTAGATTTCCCCCTGAAGGTCAACCGAAAAAGAAAGAGGGGCGAGAAAGAGGTCGGGGAGACCTCTGCCCCTCGTGGAACGGAGGAGGTGACCTCCAAGGTCGCTGATGCTGATGCAGTCGACCTCACTAGGAGCCCTCCGCCTGAGGAGGCTCCCCAAATGGCCGTTGTGGCGACTGCTGAGCAAGTTGCTCCTTCTACTGAGGTAAGTGTCTTGTTTTCTTTAACTTTTCTTCTATGTCGGTTTTGCTTTGTTTATTGATGCGCTATTGCTCTTTGCAGGCGGGGATAGCTGTCGAGGTGGAGGCCCCGGTTGCTGAGCAGGTCGCCCAGGCCGCCGTGGTGAGTACCTCGCTTTTGTTTTTCCCTCTATCTTGTAGGTTGTTCATTTTGTTTCTTGACATGGCATTGGTTTTTGCAGGCAGGGGACGCTGCCAAGGTCCAGGTGCCCCCGAGGTCGGAGGTGCCAGGCGTGGACCCTCCTATTGCTGAGCAGGGGACGCCAGTTTCTGCCTCTGTTGAGGCTCATGGCAAAGGGTCGAGTCTCGAGGTCCCTACAGCTACGCCTGCAACCTTGGCGGCGCCGTCAGGTTCATCGTAGGGGGCTTCCCGGAGCCAATACATAGCTCACCGCTTTGGCAAGGGCCTCACCCAGGTGTGATTGGACCACGTGAGTGCCTCGGCTGACATGAACTCGCTATGGAGCGCTGGGGTGACTGCCGAGAAGTTCTTCCCCCAAGGTGCGCTAAGCTCGGGCGACCAGGGGCTGATAGACGAGGCTGGACCCGTGGAGGGCCTTGACGCTACCCAAGTCTTTCTGCAGAGGACCATGGCGATTGTGGACCACTAGAAGCATAGGTGGTCCAAACAACAGGAGGATCTGGTTAAGCTGAGGAACCGAGTTCAACCTCTGAGGGACGAGAACAAGGTCCTGAGGGAGGAGAACAGGTCTATGGCGGCTCCTCTCGGGGAGGCTAAGCTGCAGGGCGAGGCCGAGCTCCAGGCCACCCGGAGGGAGTTAGTCAGGGTCCAGAAGTCCTTGAAGATTGCTTTGAGGTCTAATGAGACCTATGCTGCTCAGGTGGGTGAGTTGCGGGAGCAAGCCAATTCTTCCCGGGCTCGGGTGCGCTCCTTGGAGGACGAGGTCACCGCACAGAAGGCGGAGCTGGTGGCGGCGGCCGAGAAGCGCCTTTGCAATGAGGTGCTCCTTGGTGGCCAAGTAGACGAGAATGCCTCTCTGAGGGTAGACCTCGCGAAGCTGGAGGAGGCGAAGGCGGGACTGTAGAGGAAGCTCGAGGAGATCGAGCGAGCTGTTATTTTTGAGCATAAGAGGGGATTTCTGAAGGCAGCTCGCCAGGCGAGGTTTCTCGCCCCGGGGTTCGACTTCTCCGCCATGCATGTGGAGAAAGTGGTCCGCTTTGGGAAGCTGGTGGCGGAGGATGACCTTGAAGACAGCTCCAGTGAAAATGCCTCTGCTTAGGCCACTTTTGTGATAGTCTAGTTTATTTTTCCTGTTTGGTTATTGCTTTTGAATTCATGTTTGGAACTCAACAAACATTATTGTGTATATATCGATGGTTCTTCTGCTCTTGGACTTGTGTGTTTTGCGCTCTTGCGGGGCTCAAACTTGGCCTAATGTGTATGTTTTGTTTTGAGGTTCGAACTCGACTCGTGGCTTATTATGAGATAAATTGTACCACGGTTCGAACTCGACCTCTGCTTTTAGGGTGAAATAGATCGTGCCCAGGTTCGAACTCGACCTCGAATAAGAGTATTAAGGTTCGTATTCAACCTCAAAGTAAAATGAATTATATCAAGGTTCGAACTCGACCTCAGGTAAGCGTATTAAGGTTCGTATTCGACCTAAAATTAGAGTAATATGAATTTTATCAAGGTTCGGACTCGACCTCAGGTAAGCGTATTAAGGTTCGTACTCGACCTAAAATTAGAGTAAAATGAATTTTATCAAGGTTCGAACTCGACCTCGGATAAGCGTATTGAGGTTCCTACTCGATCGAGGTGGAGAGGTTTCCACCCTTGAGGGAGTGGTGTCTCCATGATGCCATCCACAAAGGGATGACGGCGGAAGGTTGCTTGACCCCCCGTGACATGAGTTGGGGCCTTGCTGACTTCATGGGCCGACTTGTTCGTCGGTACATGAGACCGATGCGTGGCAGGTCGTGGAGTCGGTGCCCTAGTCGCAGTTCGGGGCTGAGAGACCGACTGCCCTTCTTCCTCGTGGAGGTTGCTCGCCTCAGGAGGATGATCAGAGGGGCGTCGATGGAGCTAGGCGCGAATCCGCTCGTTTTCAATGCGTAGCGTCGCTAGGTCAGCTTCATTGGCGATCCGCATCGCCGCTAGGTCGGTTTCGTGCTGGGCACGCATGTTTCGCAAATCGGTGTCGTGTTGTTGCTGCATCTGTTCGACCTGGTCGATCAGTCTCCTCAATGTGGCTTCGTTATCCATGGTAGTTGTGTGATCTGCGTCGTCTATTGCGCGTCTGCTATGGCTTCTGGTGAATACCATAAGCGTGGCCGATAAGAGTTGTCTTGATCGGCCCCACGGTGGGCGCCAAATGTTCTTACCGGAAATTTGTGATAGAGATGATTCGCTGGGTAAGGTTGGTGAGCCTCCTTCACGGGTACGTTTTGTGCTCCAAGATGGGGGTGGTACCTGCAAAAGAGACTTCGATGCTAAAGTTAGGGTTTGTATGAGTAGATGTCTCGTATAAGTAATGCACGTACCTTAGTGTGAGTTAGGGTTGCGTTGGGCCTTGGGCCTGAGATCAATTATGATCTAATTAGATAGCGGATCTCGTCTGGACCGAGATCTCCTGAGATCGGTTATAATCTGGTTGGATTGCGGATCTCGTTTAGATCGAGGTCTCCAAATGCGTGTTCCGAGGTCATTCCACGCAGCTGTGTCGAGCTCGAGCTCGGCATGACGGTACGGATAGTACACAAACATTAACAATTTTACCGGACACCCCTTCATAGTGTAAACAATACTTACACTGTTAATACATTTCAATTAAATCCTTTAATAAATTGCATTTTTATGGTGAACTTAATAATTCACATATAATAATCAAATATTATTTTGTATCATTAATTATTTATTAATATTATTCAAATAACAACTTTTCATATAAGTTTTTTGATCCAATCTTTTCTAGGCAAACGCTCTTATGATAAATTTGTTTAAACTTAAATGTTAAAAAAAAGTTATGTTAAGAAATAGGTTAAATACCTCTTTTGGTCCCTTACAATGTTTTTTTGTTTCAATTTAGTCCCACTTTAATTTTTTGTCTCAATTTGGTCCCCAATAACTTAAATTAGTGTAATTTGGGACTTCCGTCCAAATGATTTAGACGGAGTTAACTGTTGGTTACGTGGCATCTACGTGGATGCGCATGTGAACACCAAAATTCTAGAAAAAACCTGAAACCAAAACGGCCTGTTCTGAAACCAGAACGGCCCGTTCTGAAAGCAGAACGAGCTGTTCTGCTTTTAGAACGGCCCGTTCTGAATTCAAAACGGCCCGTTCCAGAACGGCATGCTTTTTATTGTATTTTTTTTATATCTATATTAATAAATATATAATAAATAAAAAATACAATAAATTAATATTCATTTATGAATAAAACTAAAAAAAAATCAAATAAGATAAGACCTTCCAAAATATTTTTTTGATTTGAATTTATCCAGTTCAAAATCTTGACTAAAATGCCGTAATGTATTTCAAAAATTGAAAATAAAATTCAGGGTTTAGGGGTACCTCCTCAAGAATAAGTTGTTATTGTTGGGGTACATCGTCAATGACTTTAAGACATCGTCAATGACTTCAAGGAAAAACACTGTTTCGTTTTATCCTTGACTGTATAGTATCAATTTGGTAGTAAGTGGTTCACTCCAGTTTGACTAACAATGAAATAAAACTTGTTACCATCGTCCTTAGTGATACACTGCATCATCATTAATGATATACTGTATAGCTCAAATGTTTAGCAATTGAAGTTATTAATCCTCATTAACAATATACCAAATCTAGTGTTTGAAATACTTTGTATTTTAATTTTTTGGGGCACGAAATTCTGGACCAGAACGGTCCGTTCTGAAACCAGAATGGCCCGTTCTGGTTACACTGTTGGTGTGTTAATTTTGGACCTGGAACGACCCGTTCCAGGTGCAAATTTTACACACCACTAGTATAACCAGAACGGACCGTTCTGGTTTCAGAACGGGCCGTTCTAGTTTCAGAACGGGCCGTTCTGGTTCCAGGTGTATTCAAGTATTTTTTGATCCACCGACGTGACATCCATCTGGCATTCACGTGACCACCGATTAACTCTGTTTAAATCATTTAGACGGAAGTCCCAAATTAGAACGATTTAAATTATTAGGGACCAAATTGAGACTTAAAATTAAAGTGAGACTAAATTGAAACAAAAAAATATTGTAAGGGACCAAAAGAGATATTTAACCTAAAAAATATTTTAATCTTTTATTTTCAGACTGATTTTTCAAAAAAAAAAAAAAAAAAAAGGTTTACAGAAACATTTTAACATATTTAAGGAATTTTTTTTTTTCAAATTAATGAAGTGGATGTTCGGCTGTATATGCAGGATCCACTTCCAAGCAAGAATCGCGTCAAACTAATTGAACTAATTGTTGCTATTCGGCGCAAATATACATATACGGCGTTGCTGAACGCGCAAAGAGGAAAACACATCCTTGGGGATTAACTTAACTTTACATTTGATTAATTACAAGTTTACAACATCACACAATATACAAAATTTATTTTGCTTAACGCAAAATGGAGATATTTTACCATTTTGTGCAGCAAATGTTATACTCGCAAGCAAAACAGGTTTTCAGAACCATTCCACTGTGCATCTCGGATACAATTCTTTGTCTGCGGCAACATGGGTGGCAGCTAGCAGTTCTTTCTGAACCTTCCGCCTCTCATAGAACACCAAGCATGAAATGGACGTGCACTTCACACCACTTTCGAGAAGCCTATCCCCTCCTCCACAATGGTGACATATCTACAAGAGTTTAAAAAAAAAATAACTATCAATGGAGCAAGAAAGAAAACATCACAAAGCTTCGAATCTAAGGGATTTACGAAAAGAAACAAAGAAAAGCGGGTGATTGATACACAAACTTTCACCAAACATGACCCCGCCCCCCCCCCCCC